TACTCTCTTGTGTTCTGCTTTTTCATATGTTTCTAGAAAGTTTTCATCTTCTGTGAATCGTAACCTTCCTGAGCTATAAAGTATTGTGCCTGTAAGGTGTTCGATATTTTCCCTCACTGTGTTTAAAGGTGGAATGTGATTAGTGTTTAGGATAAGAATTTGAACTGAAACCTCTGAATATCTTAAGAGATAGATATTGAACACTTGATCCTGGATGTGTTTCTGTCTTGTATGTTTTTTGATATTTTGTCTCTATTGCAATTGAAGCCAATTAGTGTGAGATACTTTGTCATTCGAACTATGAATCAAGCATATACATGTCTCATGGGAATCGAACTTATGATTGCTCTATGTAGTAGAAATTTACGGCCTTTACTCTTCGATATTTGCTCTCAGCGATGTGACGATAGTTGCTGAGGAATCTCCTAACTCAAACAAAAAGAGGAAACTGCGAGCTGAAGAATCGGAGTTGTTACCCTTACCGAAACACATTTGTCTGGAGCAACAAGCTTCTCTTTCTGATTCTTCATGTCCATCATCAGATATAGAATTTACAGAATGTTCTTATGCCATGGAGGACACAAAAACCGGCGATGAGGCCTCTTCTTCTGCATCTGTCACAGGGGCTTCTTCTTCGTACACGTCTAAAGACCCTTCTTATTCAACGGGATGTTCAAGTTCTGGTTATGCAACATCAAGCATAGACCAATGTTGTTCCAAAGGTAATGACAAAACACAAGCATATGTTGAAGACCTTAGTCACATGGAATTCATTTATCCCGAGTTTGCGGTTGAAGATCGTCAGGAGCTTCTGAATCCAGTAGGGTCTTACACTCTTTCGTCTTCGAGGTGGAGTGTTAGCAGCCAAGGTAACTAATGGAATTTAGAATAAGCTAAAAAGGAGTTGATTTTAGAATCGAATTTTCATGGAGATTCATTATGATAATGTCACCATTTGGATTTACAGATACCGAAGAAGAAGCTACTACTACTACTACAAAACCAACCATTGATCAAGAATTTGAAGAGTACTTTTCAACACTTATGATGTAACACGAAAGCTACGTATGTATCACACTAAGCTCTACAATGTTTATTATGTAAATACTTCACACATCAAAACCAGAACAGAACAAATCAAAAGACATTGCAATGGTCATTTCATTTTTATCACACAATTGTATTCGAAAAAACTGTTTTTTATTTCTTGTCAACCATTCACATATATTAAATCAAATGCTACCAGTTCCGAACAATCCCAAAACGGAGACGAAGAAAACTATTTAAAATCAATAAACAGAAGAATCAAAGTTTCTAACAATCTTCAATTTCAAATCTCTTAACACTAAACTAAGACTCAATTTTCTCCGATTTAACAACAAATGAAACACCCAAATCCAATAAGCAATCACAATTCCTTCTCCGACTAACCCTAATCGGAAGAAATGAATACACAAAATTCTATAAAAAGAAAAACAGATCTCAAATTTTGTTATAAGTAAATTCCAATTCGATTACACAACAAGGTAAGATCTAATCTCTAGAAAACATGTATATACAAAAGAAAGAAGAAAAGCCAAACCCTAAATCTTAAGCGCAAGCTTCTCTTCGAGGAAGTGCATAAAACAGAGTTTCCAGATCCGGTGGCTGAAAATAACCGTTCCTCGGTGGATCTCGTATCCTAACCACCATAGATTTCTTCCTCGGTGGCGGAGGACAAACAGACGTCACCGGAATCCTATATTTCCTGCTTCTCGGCGTCGTACAACCTTCCTCCGCCGTAATCTCCGTCGTCCTCTCCACAATCTCCAT